ATTATGCTGTCTATCTTTTCCTCCGGGCTTTTATCTGTCCCTATTTCTGTATACCTTTCTTTCCTTCTTACTCAGTGGCTGCCTGGGTGGCTGTGTGGCTGTGTGGCTGGGTGGCTGGCCCTTAGCGTCCTCCTCTCCTTGTTCTCTTGCTCTTTCTTCTTCTCCCAGATTTCTCCTTCTAATTATTCTCTCTCCTGCCAGCCCCACCTGTCCTTTCTCCTGCCTTGCTATTGGCCGTTCAGCTCTTTATTAGACCAATCAGGTGTTTTAGACAGGCACAGTAACAAAGCTTCACAAAGTTAAGTGTGTTTACAACATAAACAAAAGTAACACACCTTAAAATAACATTCTACAACAGATCATGGTGACACACCTGGTTATTCCAGAATTCAGGTGGCAGAATGATTCCACAAGTTCAAGACCAGCCTGGGCTACATAGTTCCAGGCCAGCCAACGTTATATAATGCGGCCCTGTCTCAAAAGGAAAAAAAATGCTTCTTGGATATTCTGGACATGCATTTATTTCCAGCTTCAGGACGCTCAGACAAGAGGATCACGTGTGTGAGGACTACGTGACACTTTGGGCTCAAACAAACCAACAAAATAATAAATAAATAAACTTTGTTTATACATTTCTTTCATGTTGGAGATCAAACAGGAACCTTGCACATGCCAGGCCGGAAATCTACCTGCCTTGATTTTCTTTCTTTCCTGCCTCCCTCCCCGACCCGATCCTCTCTGAGACAAGCTCTCCCAGGGTGCAGCCTGGGCCTGAACTGGAATTCCTCGGCCTCCCCAGTGCTGGGATTAAGGTCTGAGTCACTACTATACTCAGCTTCCTTCTGATTTTTTCTTTCTCCTTCTAGAGCTGTGCTAGACAAGCGCTGTGCCCCAGCCATCCCCAGCCCTGTGGCCCCCAGACTCTTCTCAGGAAACGAGTCACAAGGCTCTGAGAGTGCATGGGGGCAGGGGACAATCTTTGAAATTCTTCTCAGAAAACCAAGTTTATTCTGTCTGGATTGTTTGTGTATTAAATCATTTTTATCAGATAAGTCTGGACTTCCAATCCGTTTTTGTGCTTTTTCTGGTTGTCATATATTTGTGTGTACATGTGTGGGGTCAGCATGCACACATGTGAAGCTCATGATCCATCCTTTTTTTTTTTTTTGAGATGGTCTGTCCAAGTCTAGGGACCCTACTGTGCCCACCTCCCCTGCACCGGGGTTACTGCCTCACCCAGCTTTTATGTGGGTGCAGGGCATCCCCACTTAGGACATCTTCCCAGCTGTTGTTTCTTTGTTCTTGCTGGACGCTCCAGACAGGCCTCAAAAGCCTGTGCCCGATCACAGGCCGCGCTGTGCCCAGCTCATGAGTCCGGCTAACCTGAGCGAGCCTGCCACATCATCCCACTGCTGGGACAGCCCCAGGCACAGGAGCCCTTCCTGTCCTACTCTGTCCCCTTGACACAGCATCCTTGTGCTAATTTATTTGTTTTGGCATTTCCTTCTCTTCCTGGCTGCCCAGGCTGTCCTGGGTTGTTTGTCCTGTCCCAGCCTTACAGCTGGCCATTTCTCAAAGAGCCTGGTTCCTGTCATTGAACACAGAGTACAGGACCTAGACCTGGGTCTCAGTGTGCTTGTTACTATTCAGGGGGTCACTTCGGTCCTCACAGCTGACAGAGCTAGAAACGTGTGCCCGCTTACTATGTAGACACACAGATATTCACACTTACACAGAAAATGGATTGTTTTCTCTGTACGGCTTTCTGTCTCCAATCCCACTGTTTTCCTCTGTACCACCTCATCGTGTCCACAGCAAATCTAGGCGGTCCAGACTATTGACTTCAATCATTTGAACTTATTTAATAACCTCTGTGTTTATTTTGAGACAGGGCCCTGCTATATATACAGCCCCTTATGTTCGGGGTTACATGTGTGTGCTTCCACCACCAGCTGGGTTCCCACCCCTTTTAGAGATGGAAACGGAGGTTCGGAGAGGTTCGGAGAGCTTAAGCAATCTGCACAGCTCTGGGAGGAAGGCCCGCCCACCAAGGCCTCCCGTCAGCACCTGAGCTGGTGACTGGCCACCATGATGACAATGCAGTGCCTGGTGTCTGTGCAATAGGGGACCCCCATTTGGAGCTCCTCAGGGAGGTGAGGAAGTGCTGGGACAACTGGGGTGGTGTTATGATTGTAGGCAGAACCGTGATGTGGCCTGGGGGAGTCCAGGGCAAAGGCCCCCAAAGCTGATGCAGTGCGGAAACCCAGGGAAGGTCTGGAACCAGGCTACCCAGAAAGAAGCCATGTGGTTGCAGTAGGTAGCTCTGAAGATACATCTTAAAACAGACAGAGAGTGACCTTCACATGGCCGCCTGAGAGGCAGGGCAGTAACCTGGGAAAGGCTCTGCAGCCCGGCCTGCTCAGCCGCTTCCAGGTCCTCTCTGGTGCTTCACTTCTCAGGGTTTGCTTGGGTGACATGACAGTGTGTGCCCAGACCCTTCCCGAGTCCCTCAGATTCGGTCCACTAGTGCCTCCCTTCACTCACCGCCACACCTCCCCACCCCCACCCCACCCCTGGGTCTGAAGCAGCCGAGGACTTTCCATCTCTCTGCTTCTCTGTATGTTTATGGAGTACATTATGGACACTCGGGCCAAATCACTGCCTCCCTCAGCACCCGGATGGGCAGAGAGCTGAGCTCAGGGCTCGACTACTCCAGCCTGGAGAAGTGTGAACTGCTGTTGGTAACTGGTGTGCAAAGGATTTGGGGGATCCTGGGGGCCCGTTGCAGGGATAGCATCTTCCAGTTCCAAGAGCGCGTGCAAGCCAGGTAGAGTGCTGCACACGGGTAGTCCCAGCACCCGAAAGACTGGACTGGCGCAGGAGGATTACAGTTTTGAGGGCAGCCAAGCATAACAAGTGAGACTCCTTTCAAAAACAGAGAGACACAGGCTTTGAAGTCTCGCTGGGGTCCGGAGGTGCCCGGCCCACAGCCCTGCTGGAGAGGACGCCGGGCATGGGCGCTCAGCCAAGGAAGGGAACCCGCCGCGTCTAGAGCTGGGCCCTAGGAGAACACAGTCCCAGGGATAGACCAGCCTGCTGTCGCCCTGCTCCCCGCGGGGTGCTAAGAGCAAGGGGCTGAATTCTTCTTCTCCCTTCTTTGTTTGTGGAAGCAAAAAGCAGCTGTAAAACCCAGAAGCCTGGGAACCTGGACACGGAAGTGGAGTCCTTCTAGGGAAACCCAGCAAGAAGGGGAAGAGAAGAGAAACAACCAGACAACCCGCCAGCTGTCCACAGTCTGAAGGGAAAGGCCTAGAGTATCGCAGTACATACAGTCCCTAGCGGATGGAGCCAGAGTAAATCAGAGCAGGCCTAGGTCCGCTCTGGGAGGAGGAAGACACCCCCTGGCCGCTGACACCTGCTTCCCGTGGGAGGGTTTGCCTCCTCCCCTTCACAGGCCAGTTTCTCCCGCCCTTTCTTCCTCTTGGTCCGTGTCAGGTGAATACACTGTCAATGCCTTTAGAACCCTATATCTAAATGGTTCTAGAGCCTTCCCTCCTAAGGGGGAGACATTTTTTTTTCGTTTGTTTGTTTGTTTTGTTTTTTGAGACGGGTTCTTTCTGTGTAGCTTTTCACCACCTTTCCTGGAACTCACTTGGTAGCCCAGGCTGGCCTCGAACTCACAGAGATCCGCCTGCCTCTGCCTCCAAAGTGCTGGGATTAAAGGCGTGCGCCACCACCGCTCGGCGACATTTTTTTTTTAAAAAATTCATTTCACTATTCTGGCGACCGGCTAGACTTGAAATATGGATATATGAGCACCTTGGTTGGTGCAAAGTCACGTGTGTGCATTTCACAGTACCTGGGTGGAGGGCAGAGGCCTAGGAGTTCCTCCCAGTGGGTGAAGATGGCAGAGCCGGATGGGGGCTGGGCAAACCCAGACTTTCCAGACAGTCGAGGAGCTCACCCACGGAGGCGGATCTGGACCCTGCCAATTCAGATGGCATGATGCGCCCCTGTGGGGGGCTCCATGCAGTGACCGGTGGATCTGTTTCTTCACCTCCTCCAACCTGTTGAGGCCGTGGTTTGGGGCTGAGCTGCTGAGCAGAGATTTGTGTGCAGGCTCAACCCCTCCTGTCTCTAACTCCCCTCCAGTCCGGTGCTTTGCGACCCTCTTCTGGCCACCTGCCCTTGTGGGTGTAATGAAGGTGGAAGGAGATGCAGAGGAGATGCAGGTTTGGGCCAGTGCTCCACTGCCCGCCTCACCTTGAGACACACACCTCTCTCCAGCCTCAGTTTCCTCCTCCCTAAACCAAGAACACCAAGCTGAGGCTTCAGGTTCAAAGATGACGCAGGGGAAAGCTCAGAAAAGGATCTGGCGCTCAGGGTCTCAAGAAACAGGAGGAAGCCTTGAAGCCGTCAGCCTTTGGTGCATGCGGGGACACAGACCCAGGCGCAATGCGACGATTGGCCCAAGGTCACTCAGCCCGAGGTCGGGTCTGACCCCAGGTGGCCTGATTCCATCATGGGCCTGGACAACAGCCAGGTTGCAGCCGGCGGTGTTGGAGGAGCGGGCAGGTGGCGCCCCGGGGCTTCTGCTTTGGAACCGCTGAGGGGAGCACGTTGCCACCTGGGGGGCTAGGCACTAATGGGGCAGCCCGCCCGGCAGTCACTGAGCCGTTGACCCTCCCCGGGAGGGGCGGGGCGCTCGGTTACCTCATCGCCGCCTCCGGGAGGCCCTGCTCGCTTGCTCGCCCGCGCGGCCGGCTGGGGCGGCGGCTCCCGGCGCCCGCCGGAGCGGA